CATTCCCACGATTTACTTTTACAAAAGACCAACATTAGTGACCGCATGGTTTATCTTGTACCTCATTCCCATATAAATGTACTGGCCCGATGACAATTTATCAATAGCTTGCGTAGGCTTGCCAACTGAATTCTCGAATGGGGATTTTTACAACTTTGTGAGTTGCTATGGTATCACAGTAAAACAGTTACGGTAACCTTTTTCCCATTTAGAAGTACCACAGGCAGTAGAATAGCCAGTTGGCGTACACTGACAAGATACCCTCAGAAATTACAGCGAGAAAGTGGGAGGGAGCAGTCAAATTCAAAGACACACAGGATTATAAATTTTGTTTATGCGATAGACAATAGCATATTTTGGAGCATTTTAGTCTTCGAAACGGGACGGTCAGAAGTGTTAGGCGGCGAGTTAACTTTATCGTTCATGTAATGTTTGAGTCAAGTCAAACTTCGAACGCATGAGTTCTCTAACCCTTTACGGCTTGCGACACTGGAAAAGCCACTGAGTTAACATTTGCGAGGAGCTCGCTTCTGGGTCACCGCTATCCGTGACACCCGTAAAGCCGATTGATCCAACAACAAGAGATGATCGGATCAAGTACAAAAGTAATTATCGTTTGAGTAAACACAAAAATTATCGCAGCGTAGAGGTCATCGCAATACAACGCTTACGGTCGTGTGACTTCTTTCGGCCACCTGATCGACTGCCAGTAGCACCACTTTTGGGACGGAGAGCAGCCATCACAATAGCCGACTCGAAGAAGCGTACAAGTCGATGCGCCTGATTGGCGGAAAACTTTAGCACTGGAACACCACCGACGCCCAGGTCGGTTAGAGAGACCGTCGATCCTGGCTTCCGCAGATAAGCCTCCGTTTGTTGCCAAAGGAGGATGGTGAAGGCCTCAAACTAAAGAAGAAGAAGACGTAGACCGGAGAAAATAAAATACGTAATGGCAGAATAGTAGGGTAAGATGGAAGCAGATGGAAGTCGAACTGGGACAGTTAATCACTTAAATACGCCCTCACTGTTCGAATCTTATAACAGGGTAACGGGGTGGGAAGAAACGTTCACCAGCGACTCATATCAAACTCACAGCAGCAATAATCGAAGACGCCTCGGGAAGAGTGGGCATGGCAGATAATTTTACTGCAAAGGTCTTCAAAGAGGAGGAGACACGATCAACTAGGCCGAGAAGGGCTTCAAGTGTGTATATGTGACGCTGAAGAGAGAGAGGGAAAAAAGACAATAAGATGTTGGCCAGGAAACAACAAAAGTCATAGGGTACAGATATGAAAAGGCCCAAATTAATGTTAAGAATGCAGGAACTGTGCATTGTCAGCATAGCCCAGCACGCAACAACTTCTCCAATAAACATGCATCTGAAACATTTTTGGATATCTGGCGGTTTTGTGGACTTTCACTGATGTTCTTCGTATTAGTATAAAAGTTATGATTAGGCAGACAGTCTCGGAGAAAATATTACTTCCTGTTGTGGATAGGAATTTTGACAAGCTTAAGAAACGCAGACGGGAGAACTAAATGTTTGACTCCCCCAATGTTCCAAAGAGGAAAAAGTGAGCTCAGAAAAGTAGAATCTTGTCTGCGGCAAAGGGGTTTTGGACTACGGTTTTTGCTGGTTATGTCAAAACTATGTCTTTAGAAAGGAACCTAATAAACAATGCTGTCCCACTTTATAAAAAGTCAAAAATAAACAGCTTCGGAAAGACCAATCAAAAAGAGACCTTAGAGCCCAGGGGACTTCGCCGAGGGCAAGGCAGAAGTTAATTATTTACGTGATAGAAACTTCACAATTGCAGTTTACGGGTAAGCCTTATGTCTGATACACAGAACTTCTCTACGTACATCAAAAAGACACACATGAGGAGGCGATAAGTTCATATGTCTGACGGTAGGTCGGACGGCAGTTCACAGAAATACTGTCATTAAGGGTTACCTGAACAATAACGCCTAGGGCTTGCAGCAAGGCAACCGAGTCCGTAGAGCTGGACTGGAAGGTGACTACCAGCTGGAGTAGTTGATTGGCTGATAAAACGCCCGGACTCTTTCGCTGAAAGGGTGAGAGAGGCGAACGGTCCGAGGTTTTTACATGAACTTTGGGTGAACCGTATTGGCCCTCAACTGTAGTGTTGATGGAGGCCTGCAAGATAACAGGAAAAGTAAGGGCAGATACAGCTTGTGCATCTGAAAACTCTTAGAAAAAAGACGTGGAATAGCGGATAAATCATTAATGAAGTTAAATGGGCATGGTTACAGGCCTTGCATTTAGCTAACAGAGACTGTGGCGGACAGCCACAATGACTATTCCCCCT